CTTCTGTTTTACTGCCTTAATAAACTTTTCTCACTTGTTTTTCAGAAAAAGAATAAATATACATTAAATCTTATTAAGCATGCACACACACACACACACACACACACACACAAAAGAGTCTATGAGTATTCTGTCATTTTCTCCCTTTCTTTCGGGACCACTTGTACCATGCTGCCTCTGGTACCTTTAACAGTGGCTGGCACGTAGTAAGTGCTCCGTAAGCATGCGTGGACAGAATGAACTTGGATAGATAAAAGACAGTTCTGGGATTGAGCAGCCTACTTCCCTCCAGGAGCCATTCGACGTAGCGCGTGGGTCAGTGGACAGCCCAAAGAACAATAGGAAAAAAACCTTGTCCTTGGAGAAAGTGCCGCTGGGCTGCTCTTCAGAGCCGAGGATGTGGAGCCTTCATCTCACGTACTTTGGACATGTCATCAGGAGGGCCCAGTCTTTGGAAGAAGACGTCATGCTGGCAAAGGGGGAGGGTCAGAGAAAGAGAGGAAGACCGTCAATGAGACAGAGTGACACCGTGACTGTCACAGTGGGCTTGACCCTGACAGAGATCGTGACAGTGGGGCAGGGCAGGACAAGGTGGGGTCACTATAAGACATAGTCGACTTGACAGTATCGATAGCAAAAGCACCAAGTATTTTCTGTTCAAGAGAGATACTGTAACTTTAATGTCCAAAAAAGTGTGTTTCTGAGAGGCTATTACCATCTGCCACTTAAATAACACGACTGGGAGTGATTTGGATGTGGTTTCTTTCCGTCTTTTTTTCCTTACCTGTGTTTTTTATTTTGCCAGTAGATTCAGTTGATCGAGTGATTGTTTGGATTTTTTTTGGCATATTCACGCATACCCTGCTCCCATGGTGCTTGCACGTGGAATGGAGACCGAGGTGCCCACCCCATTGGGCTTCTCTGCAGATGGTATGAGGGGAAAGCCCTTGACCTTGTGCTAAACCCACAGTTGCTTAATAAATAACAGACACTGTTACTGATTAACAGGGGGCATGTTGTCTGGAGGGGCCGGTCCAGGAGGTAAGACATCATGCTGGGGAAGGGAGAGGGTCCGAGAAAGAGAGGAAGACCCTTGACGAGCTGGACGGACGCAGTGACCTGATTACGCAGGCCCTGGCGTTATCAGAGCTCATGAGGACGGCACAGGATAGGACAGGGATGAGATCTGTTGGTCCCAGGCTCACTGTGTGTCATAGTCGACTCAATGGCACCTCACAACTTCAACTGGTGGCCTCGTTTATAGGAAGCTGAGCTGCTGCCCCAAAGGTGGTGCCTCTCTGGTAGTTCAAATCCTCAAGCTGCCCTGAAGGAGAAAGATAAACAATCTCCTTCCGTGTGATTCACCACCTGAAACACCTCCTTACCGGAATGTCCACAAAGTTGACCCCACTTTGACAGCATTGAGATGAGATTATTGATTATGGGGGAAGCAGTTGTTCAGTATTAGACTCCTCACTTCCGTTGTGAGAGACCCAGGTTCAATTCCCAGCCAGTGCACCTCATCCTGTGCCATTTCTCCTCCTATCTTTAGAGATGTGCATGGCGCTGTGATGTTGAACAGGTTTTTGCAACGCTTCCAGATTAAGACACACTAAGTTGTACCATTTTACAGTCTCACCAGCAATGGGTAAGAGTGCCTATCTTGCCACATCCTCTCCAACATCTATTACTTGCTGCCCTGTCAAACTTTGCCACTGCTGCTGGAGTGAGATGGTATCTCATTGTGGTTTTGCTTTGCATCTCTCTTATTGCCAGTGATTTGGGGCATTTCTTCATGTATCTGTTTGCCATTTGAATATCTTCCTCCGTGAAAATTCTTTCCATGTCTTTTGCCCATTTTGTAATTGGGGGGTGATCAGGCTTTTTCTTATGGAAGAGTATTCTGTAAACTTTTGAAAAATAAAAATTCTGTGACTTAAACTTATTTTAATTTTTGTATATAACTTAGTCACCCTTAGCTTCATATATATGCATTTTATGTAATTGTAGCAACAGCTGTGTGTGTGTGTATAAAATTTTGTTTGCTCATTCAATAAACATTTCCAGAAAGACTAACTGGGCAAGCTAGGAAGAAAGGCCTATCTCCTTTTTTCCTTCTTTTATTTTAATTGATATTTTAACAAAAGTTTACAGAAAACTTGGATTTCCATTCATTCATTTTTCACATTTTCCTTCCTACCTACCCCCACCAGTTCACCAGTTCACTTTTCTCTTTTAAAAAAATTCTTTCATTGTTGCAGTTTCCTCCTTCCCTCCTCACCCCCCAGTTCCACTTTGCTGTGCACCTCTTATTCTGGACTGTTCTCATACAAATAATACCTAATCATGTATTTCTTTTAGACAGTTCTTTCTCATTGATTTGAATGCAGCATTCATTATTTGTTCCCTCTTTCTTAGTTTCCCCACAACCCCCATGTCAGTCCTGTTTTATAACAGTGGCATTATGTAGTATTTGTCCTTTCATGATGGAGATATTTCACTCAGCATAATGTCCTCCAGGGTCACACATTTTGTATAATATTTTATAAGTTCCTTGTTTTTCAGTGCTGTGTAGTATTCCATTGTGTGAATATACCACAGCTTCTCTGTCCATTTATTTGTTGTGGGACACTGTCTACTTCTTAAAATCAGGCAGTGAAAGCTCCATGACTCGACTGCTAGTCATGAGGATGGGGCAGTGTTGTGTTGTGTTGTGTTGTGTTGTGTGTCGGTCTCCACGAGTCAGGGGCTCACTGGTTTGATGCCATCAAGTCAACTACGACTCATAGAGACCCTAGGAACCGAAGATGTGAACTTGACCTGATCCTTTTCCATCCTCACCGTCTCTGATACACTCAAGCCCGTTGTGACCGTCACAGTGTCTGTCAGTCCATCTTGCCGAGGGTCTTTCCTGACTGGACAGCGGCTAAGATTTCCTGGTCATTTTCCTACAAAGTGCGATGGAGAAAGAATGGTGAAACTTTGTCCCACATCCTCTGGGCATGTTGCCCACAGCAAGGGCCAGTCCTTGGAAAAAGGCATCACGCTGGGAAAGGTGGAGGGTCGAGAAAGAGGGGGAGACCCTCAATGAGATGGATCAACACAGTGACTGTAACAGTGGTTCTGAGTGTGTCAGCAATGGTGAGGGTGACACAGGATGGAACACGGTTCAGTTCCGCTGGTCATCGGTCGCTGCAGGTCAGACGCTGTGTGCAGACTTGACGGCCCCCAACAACAGCTATACCCACCATGTTCTCGCTTAGCCTCCTTCGCATTAGAACTTTCTATGATGATAGAAATTTTCTAGAATAAAGACTCCCTTTTTAATTTTATTTTTTTCCCCCCATAAAGGGCAGTCAGGTCAATTTCTTTCTTTTTTTAAATTTATTATTAATTTCAGTGAAAATTTATAGAGACTTTGATTTCCATTCATTCATTGTTGCACTTTTCTCCCCTCCTAACCCTCCTCCCTAGTACACTGTACAAATTCTTTTATTGTTTTACAAACCCTCCCCCAGGTCCACTCCACTATGCAGCCTTCGCTCTGGACTGCTGTCATGGTCAGGTCCATTTCAATTCATAATTTTAATAATTTCAAATTACTAATTTAAAATTTTAATAAGAAGGCTCCACTTCTCTTCCTCCCTTGGAACTTTGCTAGATTCAATCTTCCAGAGGCAGGCAGCCTGTTGCTTAACAGCTAAATAGTGCTACTGACTAGGCCGCCAGAGGACAGGACTACTAGTTACCAGAGGACAGGACTGCTAGTCACCAGAGGACAGGACTGCTAGTCACCAGAGGACAGGACTACTAGTCAACAGAGAACAGGACTACTAGTAAATGGTTTTGGTTTTGCAGGGCACCTACAGTCTGTGGCCTTTGTTACATATTTCTCTTTCAAAGAAACCTTTAAAAAAATCACATGAGCTGAGCTCCTCTTAGCCTGTGGACGATGGGTGCAGTTTGGCATGAGGACCATGGTGGGCATGAGGCCAGCCTCCTCTCCACCTGCCCCTGTCCAGGCATGTGACCACAGGGCACTTGAAATGTGGCTCTTGAGATTGTGAGACTGGCTTACAGATTTGTGGTCTTTAAATTTAAGCTGCTCCCCGGGATTCATTTCTCCACGTCACGTGGAGGCCCTGGCCATTGTGACCTGTCACCCTGAGCGAGCCCATGTTCACTGGAGGAGGGGAGGTCCAGGCCTGTAGGAGCAAGAGCTGCCCAGCTGGCAGGAATCTCTGGCACGTTGGCATTTCAAGGGCCACCTGGGCATAGCTGGACCCAAGCCACCACCTCCAGAAAAGCTTCAAATGTCCTGCCATTAGTTGGGTTTATTTGCTCAGAGCACAGCCTGAAACCCCAAGCGGGCAGCCCTTCCCCCTGTCGCCACTGCCCACTCCACTGGACTGTGTCCCAAGAGACACCAGGCTTGAGTGTTCTGTGGCTGCTGGGGACAGGGGTCTGGTTGCTGGGGTTACACCAGGGCACCCTCCCCATCTGGAGTTTGACTTAGTGCATGCAGCTGTCCCCTGCTCATGGTGACCCAAGCAGTATCCAGCCCTATACCATCCCCAGGATGAGTTGTTGATAAACCATTATAATCTCTAGTGTTTCTAGGCACTGATTATTAGACGCCAATTGCCAGGCCTTTCTTCCTCTTCTCCACCATCAACTCACTCTGTTGAAACGTGGGTTTTCCCAGTTGCTGTGAAGTCAACTCCCAACTGCCGGCTACCCCATGTCTGTGTCAGAATAGATCTGTGCTCCAGAGAGGAATTTTCTAGAATTGTTTTTGTGAAAGGGGATTGCCAGGTCTTTATTCCACGGCACCTCTGGGAAGCTGCCCCTCATCTTCTTGTTAGCAGCTGAGTGCACTGTTTGTCTCTCCCAGGGCTCTGTTGCTCTGCAGGGCCTGTCTCTTCCACAGTGCCCACCCCTGATGCCGTCTCTCTCTCCTCTCTGAGTCTGCCTGTGGGCATTGTCAGCAGGCAGGGTGGAGGGCTGGAAGCCAGGGATGAGTGTGCTTAGGGCAGGTGACTGCATCTAGAAGGCCCAGCAGGACCCAGCCCTTCCCGAGATGACCCTCGCTCAGCCACCTTCCTGGCCCTGACCACCATTCTCAGCCCACTGCACGGACTCCCCCAGCCAGCTCTCTCTACTCTGTCCAGCCAACAGGGCAGGGAGTCTGTACCAGAAAGAGCTGAATCCCCGTTTCCTGGAGGGAGGACAGGCCTCTACTCCTGGCCTCTTAGGAGGGTGGACTCTCCTTGTGCTGAAGACAGGCAAAAGCCCAGCAGTGGTGGGGGACATGGCCATGTCCCAGGGTCCAGCAGGAATGAGGGCCCACTGGCCTCCCCCCTTACCCATGCTGGCAGTTTTAGGGTGTTAGTTCAGTGTTCCCCATGTCCTTGTGGAAAGGTCTTAGCCTCCCTCTTTTTAGAAAAAATAGCTCAGAGAGGTGAAATGCCTAATACAGGGCCCTGTCAAGCAGAGTTTGAACCTGAGGCTGAAGGTCTCCAGGCCCCAGGCTGGGCCTCTTGGTCCCTGCAGACGGCCTCACTGGCTCTGTTTGGCCTGGAAGTGGCCTTCTCCTTCTATATTCCCCGTTGCTCCTTCCACGTTCCTGGTTGACTTTCTCTCTGCCCAGTCTCCTCCTCCTTCCCAAACTGGCTTCTCTCTCTCTCTCTCTCTTGCCTCTGACTAGCCCACTTTGAGCTGTTTGCTGGTGAATCACTCGGCCGTGGCCCGACCCAGGCCTGCCTCTGTGACCTTGGACAAGTCGCTATGTCTCTCTGAGCTGCTGGGGTGGGGTGAGGTCTTCTACCCTGAAGGGAGCCGCCTGAGAAGGCACAGAAAATGCCTGAGCAGACGGAGTGCTCGGTAAATGTGGAAACACTGGCCTCAGAGGCTTTCTTACAGGCTCAGGTGCTCCTGTCAAAGGAATGCTCCGTATTAACCAAAACTGGTCATTTGATACCATTTTGCTAATTCTGTTTATCCTCTTTGTAGGCCTTTCCCTGAGTATTCACTGTCCAGATCACGTCCAACCCCAAACACAAGTTCATGCATGTCCTCACCCACCCCCGATACACATGCATTTACACACACACACACACACACACACACACACACACACACTCTCTCTCTTATGCGTGTGCACACACCCTTATATACCATACATGCATGCATACCTCGAACATCCCTTCCAGATACGTACAGTCCTACACACACGTACACACCTATGTTGTTTGTTGTTAGGTGCTGTCAAGTTGAGTACGACTCATAGCAAGCCTGTGGACAACAGCCCTGAACCCTGCCCTGTCCTGCGCCGTCCTCTTCATCTCTGACACAGAGGAGCCCACTGCTGCAGACACTGTGTCAGCCCATCTCGTTGAGGGTTTTCCTCTCTTTCGCTCACCGTCCACCTTTCCAAGCATGATGCCTGTCTCCAAGGAGGACCCTCTCCTAGCGATATGCGCCATGTATGTGAGATGAAGCTGCACCGTCTTTACCTCCAGTGAGCTCTCTGGCTGCACCTTTTCCAAGACATTTTTAAAAAAGGATGATGATGATGTGTGTATGTACCCTCAAATCAGATCTGACTGGTACAGGAGGAGATTGTTCTCTCCTTCTCCAGCAGAGCATCTGGTGGATTCAGACCGCTCACCTCTGGGATTGCAGTGCAGCTTCTTGCCACAAGGCCACCAAAGCTCACCTAAGACATTTTCTTTTGGCAGTCCAGGGATATTCCGCAATCTTCTCCAGCATCACAAGTCAACGGCATCAGGTCTTCTTTCGTCATCCTTAGTCATTGCCTAGCTTTCAGATGTATAGCAAGTGATTTAAAAAGACCCTTCACATCCCTTCATATACACACGTGTACACACACCTAGATGCACACCACCCCCTACACTCTCACCCTATACGCATAAGCAACCCCGTGTTTATATACTGCTGCTGTTGTTACGTCCTGTAGAGTTGGGACCAGCTCAGAGCTGACCTTGCAGTGGGTTTTCAGAGGCTCTAAACTGGACAGAAGAAGACTGCCCATCTTTCTCCCTTGGAGCAGCTGGTGGATTTGAACCACCTACCCTTGAGGGACTACAGTCTTCAGTATGGGTTGGGACTCAATGTCAAGAAAACAAAGATTCTCACCACTGGGCCAATTGGCAGCATCATGATGGATGTTGAAGAGATTGAGATTATTCACAGTTTTGGTTTGCTTGGCTTCACCGTCAACACTCTTGGCACCAGCAGCCAGAAATTAAGACATATTGCGATGGGAAAGTCTGCAGTTAGAAATATCTCTAAAGTGCTGAAGTGCAACGATGTCAGTCTGGAGACTAAGGTGCACCTGATACATGGCATGGGCTTTGCAGTCACTTGCTGTGCATCAGAGAGCTGTACAATGTCTAGGGATGATAGAAGGAGAATTGATACTTTTGAGCTGTGGTGTCAGAGAAGAGTATTGAATATACCATGGACTGCTAAGAAAATGAACAGATTCGTCCTGGAGAGGGTGAAGCCGGGCTGCTTCTTGGAGGCAAGGATTCTGAGGCTCCGTCTAACATACTTTGGACATGTAAGGAGAGACCGGTTCTTAGAGAGGGACATCATGCTTGGGAGGGTGGAGGGACGGCGCAGGAGAGGAAGGCCCTCTATGAGGTGGATTGATTCAGTGACTGGGGTAATTGGGATGGATGTGTCGGAGACAGTGCGATTGGCACAGGACAGAGCAGGGTTTAGGGATGTTGTACATAGGGTCTCTGAGTCGCAGGCGACTTGACGGCACATAACAACAACCCTTGAGTTGGCAGTACAGCATCTTACCCACGAAGGCATATATGTGCATATATATCCACGCGTGTATGTATTTTTGTTGTATACTGTAGCTGACCCTTCCATTGGGTTTTCAGGGTCAGTTAATCACAGGGGAGGAGATTGCTTATCTTTCTCCCACAACTGCGACTGCATGCCTTTGGGTTTGCAGCCCAGCTTCTTGCCTCTAGGCCACCAGAGCTCTCCACACGCCCCTTTGGAGACTAAGGTGCGCCTGATACAGGCCATGGTCTTTGCTATCACTTGTTATGCATCAGAGAGTTGGACAATGACTGGGGAGGATAGAAGGAGAATTGATGCCTTTGAGCTGTGGTGCTGGAGAAGAGTATTGAGAGTACCATGGACTGCCAAGAAAACAAACAGATTCATCCTAGAGAGGGTTAAACTGAGCTGCTCCTTGGAGGTAAGGATTCTAAGCCTCCGTCTAACATACTTCGGACATGTTGCAAGGAGAGACAGGGCCTTGGAGAGGGACATCATGCTTAATAGGGTAGAGGGAGGACAGGCGCAGGAGGGAAAGGCCCCCTATGAGGTGGATTGATTCAGTGACTGGGATAATCGGGATGGGAGTGTCAGAGACAGTGCGATTGGCACAGAATAGAGCAGAGTTTAGGGCTGTTGTACATAGGATCGCTATGAGTCGCAGGCGACTCGACACATAACAACAACAACAACAACATTCATGTACACCCCTGCATACACACATACCTCCTACAGTCATATACCCCTACATATCCATACATAACACTTCACACACACACAGACACATTCACATTTCTCTTCCACACAGCAGACAGACAGACATATACACACACAGACATGCATTTGACACCTTCCACATAGTTGCATCCCACACACATCTGGCACAGACATTCCTGCACGTTCACACACAGACATAAACACCATGCACGCCTCATACAGCCATGCAAAGACACAGACATATACACACATGTGCACCCAAAGAAACAGACATAGAACATATACACCCCTCCCGGATGCGTGTACACACACACACCACAGATACCCATACACGCTGTAAGAGCAGAAGTAAATGTCTGCTGGATTTCAGATTTTGAAACCGCTCTGACTGCCATTGCTTGCAAGTTATGACCCTGATTTACCTCCACTAGAGGATACCATGCTGCATACTTGTTCAAAACCAAAGCACGCAGCGCCTCATCCTAGCAGGTAGATGAATAAAATAATTCAAATAGAAGCAGCAATTCTTTCTACAAAGATAATCATTTAATGGCATAAAAGGGCTCACCTTGATCAAACATGAATCTCTCTCGCAAAGAGACGTGTTAACTCCTTGTCCTGCGTCTGGTTATTTATAACCTATGTCTGTACTGGCTTGGAATCTGTGACTTCTTGTTCTGTACCTGGTTCACTTGATCAAACACGAATCGCTCTCCCAGCGAGCTAGGTGACTGCTTGTTCTGTGTCTGGTTATTTATAACCCCCGTCTGTACAGGCTGTGCAGGGGAGGCCTGGTGGTGTAGCTCGTATCCTCGTTTGCTGCCAATCCAACCCTGTGCCCCAGTTTCCAAATCATGGTAAGGATAAACTTCAGTTGGCTTTCTTAAAGTTTTAATTCCATCTTCTGTTATTTTGGGGGGCATGTGCACTCATCCGGGAGCACGTAGACAGGCCCACGTAACCTTCCATCATCACCCCCATACCTGTCGTCGTTTGCTCTTAAGGACAAACTGACTCATAGCTGACCTTCGGCAGATTTTCAGAGGCAGTCCAGAGGAGACTGCCCATCTTTCTCTTGCAGAGCAGCTGGTGGATTCGAACCGCGTGCCTTTGGGTTGGCAACGCAGCTCCTTCCCACTAGGCCACCAGAGCTCTCCAATCCCCCCATGCATGCCACGCTAAACACATTCCTCAGATGCCCACCCGGACACAAACATGTCTGTCTGCCTGTATGCGGTCTCGACCATGCCCCACCCCCTTTCCATACACCCACACCCTGACACATTGCACAACTTTGAACTCCCAGATACCTGTACTTCCTCCGCTTCTCTGCACCCTCACCCTGCCGGTTCCCCAGAACTGCGTGTGCTCCACGAGCATCAGGGGTACACACTAAATCTGCTCAGTCTACGGCGTGATCAGCAGTCCCCCCAGAGCTCTGACACTGAAATGCATCAGTAGAGTTCTAGATTCTGCTCTCAGGGGAGATTTTTTCAGGGTTGCTCAAGGCAGCCAGGGGCTCACAGGGGCTTCTGAGTGGCTTTCTGTCCTGTCCAGCCCCCCTCGATTTCCCCATCCCAGGCCTGACTGAGAGAACCCGCGTTGTCCAGGCTCTTGAGTATCAGGGTGGTTAAGCAGAAGAAGAGCCTGGCTGTCTGCTTTCAGGACCCCATGACACACTCCAGCACGCGAATCAGCAGTTGGCTCCACTGCTGTTGGTGTCATTTGACAACCACTTCCGCCGCCTCCCCCCCCCCCTGCAACAATGTCAGCAAATTTTAAGGGTGCTTTTTTCCAAAGCAGAGAGTCACGGGGCTGAGAGAATGGGGGGTGGGGTATTGTTGGGGGGGGGCACATCTCAGCTTTATCATCGCCACCCGGAGCCCTCTCCACAGCTGTTTGAGGTCAGCAGCTCCGCCTCTGTTTTGGTTGGGTTGTTGTGTTTTGTGGTGTGTTTTTTTTTTTTTCTTTTTCCTGCTGAGGAAACTGTGGCTGAGAGGCGGAAATGACTGTCCCGAAGCCGCAAGGCCAGGAAGTAGCAAAGCCTCCTCGGGTTTTACCCCCCTGGCTGGAGATAGTCCCTCCCTCTGACTTGACTGTTTCTTTTCCACAAGGGTTTGGGGGTCTAAACCCTCAGTAAGCTGGCTCAGCTCTGGGCCAGGTCATCTGGTGCATTCCTGCTGGGTCCCTTCTCTCTCAGGGAGCCATGCTGAGAGAGGTGAGGGGTACAGGCCTGGCATCCTAGGTGCACCCTGAATCCTACTGTCCCCCTGTTGTCCCCAGTGTTCCCGAGCCCTTCTGGGAGCGCCCGGCTTCTCTCTGTCCCTCCATTCTTATGCTGTGGGCCTGCTCCTCACAGCAAGTGAAGGCCACCCTCTTGCCTCTTCCCCAAAGGCCCTCCCTGGCTGCTGCCCCCATCTCTCTCACCCTCTCCAGCCCTAGCAGCTTCCTTGCAGACTCTTGAAGACCCTCAGCCTACAGTGTTGTGCTGACAAATCTTCACTCGCCAGCCCCTTCCGGCCATCCACACCTCAGCTGGGCTGACACCTCTTCTGAGAGACCCTCCCTGATTGCCCTACACCCTCGGCCACGTCATCCCTCAGCTTTGAAAGCTGTGTTGACGGTCAGACTTGAGCTCCTTGAGGCCAGAGCCCTTCCTTGCCCGCTGGCTGGACTCCAGCACCAAGGACAGGGTCTGACGCTTCATCCACACTGAGCGGATGACAAACACATGGATGTATTGCTAAATGAGTGTGGGGTATCTCTCGGGGCGGCTCACAATGTGCTGGGAATAGGAGGTGGTGATAGTTGTACAGCATTGTGAATGTAATTAATGTCAGTTACACACTTAACTAAAATCGTAACAATACCGCGTATGTATGTTCTATAATATAAGAAGACTCTTGGGTGGTAAGTCTGGAAGTGTGCAGATGTACAGAGCATGGCGTCTCAGCCAACACTGGGCAGGGCCTACTTTCCACCCTAGACCCTGGCTGACGACCACCCTTGCCTCAGTTTCCTCCTCTGTTAGGGAGAGTCCCCGACACCGACTGTGTGCCAGGCCTGCTCATCCCATGCAGTGACTCCATGGGTACTTAGTGATACCCACGGTGCTCGGAGCTGGCTGAGGAGGTGGCAGGGAGCCTGGCAGGTAGACGGCGCTGCCTGCCTGGAGCGGACATGCCATTGGAACCTGCTTCTAGTGCGTTACTGTATTCACTACTCTGGTGGTGAATGCTATCACTACCCTCGCCTTCTCCAGGGAGTTCTGGTGGCTTAGTGGGTAAGGAGCTGTGCGGCCAGCCCAAAGGCACAGGATTTGAATTCACTAACTGCTCTGCAGGAGAAAGGCAGACGGTCTCCCATGTAATTTGTTGTTACATGCCGTGGAGTCAGGACCAACTCACAGCTGACCCTCCAGTGGGTTTTCAGAGGCCCTGAATGGCACAAGGCAAGTTTGCCTTTCTTTCTCCCACAGAGCATCTGGTGGACTTGAACCCCATACCTTTGCGTTGGCAGTGCATTTCCTTACCACTAAGCCACTAAAGTTCCCTTGTGATTTACAGCCTCTGAAAACCCACGGGTTGGGGGTCAGGGGGAGGTGTCAGCCCTGAGTCGATTCTGACTCAAAGGGACATAACGACAACAACATCATTTTCACCGAAGGAGCTCTGGTGGTGCAGTGGGTTTAGCATCTGGCTGCTAGCCAAGAGGTTGCCAGTTCGAACCCACCCAGACGTTCCATGGGATAACAGCCTGGCAGACGACTCCCATAAAGATCCCAGCTTGAGAACCTGTGTGGGGTAGTTCTCTGACAGCATATGGGGTTGAGGTGAGTCCAGATTGACTTCTCATCACCCAGCAGTTAACAGTTAACATTCTCTACACTCATCAGATGAGGGCACTGAGGTGGAAAAAAAATTTTTTAAAAAAATTTTTTTGTTGAACATTATTTTATTATTTTAATGGAAATTTACAGAGACTTTGGATTTCCATTCACTCATTGTTGCACTTTTTTCCCTGCCCACCACTCCCCTCCAGTACGTTCTTCTCTTTGAAAAGTAAAAGAAAAATTCTTTCATTGTTATTCAAACCTTCCCCCCTAAGTCCACTCCACTATGCAGCCTTGGTTCTGGACTCCTGTCATGACAATAATACCTGATCATATATCCCTTTTAAACAGTTCTCTCTCTCTCATCTGTTTCAATGAAGTATACATAATTTATCCCATCTTTCTCAGTCTGCCCCCCAACCCTGATATCAGTCCCATTTTACAACAGTGGCACCATGCAGTATTTGTCCTTTTGTGACTGAGATATTTCACTCAGCATAATGTCCTCCAGGGTCACCTATTTTGAATAATATTTCATGAGTTCCTTGTTTTTCAATGCAGTGTAGTATTCCATTGTGTGAATATACCACATTTGTTTGTTGATGGGCACTTAGGTTGTTTCCAACTCTTTGCTATTGTGAACAAAGCCGCGATGAACATGGGTGTGCATCAGAGTCCTTTAGTAGAAAGTGCAGAGATGGGATTTGAACTCAGCTCATGAGCCTCAGAGGCATGTCATCACCCTCTGGGGTGATAATTGGACCTGCTCCTTGGGGTTGCACCATGTCAGTCCATCTCCTTGAGGGTCTTCCCTCTCTTCCTCTGGCCCTTCACCTTTCCAAGCATGACGTCCCTCTCAAAGGACTGACCTCTCCTTACAACATGTCCAAAGTCTGTGAGAGGGGCGGTGGGGATGGCACAGGATGGGGCAGGGTTCAGAGCTGTTGTTTGTAGAGTCAGTGTGAGTGGTGGATGCAGATGCATAACCACAGCAGCCCTGGAGTTGTGGCGCATGCCTGGAGTGAAGAAGGGAGGTTGCTGAAACTCTGATTAGTGTCTCTCTCTCTCTCTCCCCTCCTCCCCCAGATGTGAGGCCCCCCAGCCGCCTGCTCACCTGTCGCTGCAGCGAGCCCCCAGGCTGGGCCTGCGCCTTTCCCGGCCCAGCATGCGCCTGTCTGTGCGGAGGCTGCTGCTTGCGGCTGGCTGCGCCCTGGCCCTGGTGCTGGCGGCCCAGCTGGGCCAGCAGGTGCTGGAGTGCTGGGCGGTGCTGGTGGGCCATGCAGCCGGAGCAGGAGGAGCTGGTGCTGACGGGCACCAACCACGTGGAGTACCGCTATGGCAAGGCCATGCCCCTCATCTTCGTGGGCGGAGTGCCCCGCAGCGGGACCACGCTGATGCGCGCCATGCTGGACGCGCACCCAGAGGTGCGCTGCGGCGAGGAGACGCGCATCATCCCGCGCGTGCTGGCCATGCGCCAGGCCTGGGCCAAGTCGAGCCGGGAGAAGCTGCGGCTGGACGAGGCCGGCGTGACGGACGAGGTGCTGGACGCAGCCATGCAGGCCTTCATCCTCGAGGTGATCGCCAAGCACGGGGAGCCTGCGCGCGTGCTGTGTAACAAGGACCCCTTCACGCTCAAGTCGTCCGTCTACCTGTCGCGCCTCTTCCCCAACTCCAAGTTCCTGCTGATGGTGCGGGACGGCCGCGCCTCGGTGCACTCCATGATCACGCGCAAGGTCACCATCGCGGGCTTCGACCTCAGCAGCTACCGGGACTGCCTCACCAAGTGGAACCGGGCTATCGAGGTGATGTACGCCCAGTGCCTGGAGGTGGGCAAAGACAAGTGCCTGCCCGTGTACTACGAGCAGCTGGTGCTGCACCCCCAGCGCTCCCTCAAACTCATCCTCAACTTCTTGGGCATCACCTGGAGCGACGCAGTCCTGCACCACGAGGACCTGATCGGCAAGCCAGGTGGCATCTCCCTATCCAAGTGAGTGCCCCCCAGTGCCTGCCCTCTCCAAGCCTGGCGGAAGCTTGGCCCTGTCGCCCTCAGCTGTGTGGCCTAGGGCGAGCTCCTGCACCTCTCTGAGCCTCACCTGCCTGGTTATTAATACAAATCTGTGAAAGGGGGACAGTTAAAAACAGACTCTTCCACCAAATCACCTTCCTTTACCTCCACAGCATTGGACAAGTCACTCTTCCTCTTTGAGACGGTATCAGTGTCCAAATGAGAGGGACAGTCTTTCCTCTGGGAGAATCAGCCAACATTTGAACGCTGTGTCATAAGCCAGGGGTGGGGAAGGTCCAGAGCACAGGTTCTGGAAGCAAGGAGTTGAGTTCAAATCCCAGCCTCACCACTTCCTAACTGTGTGTCCTTTAGCAAGTGACCTAACCTCTCTGTGCCTCTGTTTTCTCATGGTTAACAATGCGCTAGACTCTCCCTACCTCATGAGTGCCTCTGAACCTCAACTAACCTAGTGTTATTAACCTAATACACAGTAGGCAGCATCATGATTGGCCGCTAACCTAAAGTCTGGTGGTTCAAACCCAGCCAGCGGCTCCATGCAGGAGAGACTCGGCAGTCTGTTTCTGTGAAGATGACAGAAACCCTCTAGACCTCATTTGTGCTCTGTGACATAGGAGGTCTCTGTGAGCAGTAGCAACAGAGTTTTTGTTGGTTTGTTCTAAGTGGAGGTTATAGGATTTCCACCAACACTCTGGGGAGAGACAGTCTGATCTGTAACACCCTTTCTGCCGTGGCTGGTGCCTGCCAGTCTCCATCCTCAGTAGCTGTAAGTCCTGAGCTGAGCAAGAGACTTGAAGCAGCTCTTCTCCCTCACATAGTCAGGTGCTTGGCAGGCTGGGCTCCCCGGTCACTTGGTGCTGTCCACTTCTATACAAACTGCAAATAATACCTCAAACAGCCATCAAGTTGCTCCCAACTCATAACAGCCTTTCATCCGAGTGGCATCCACTTCGTAAACAACATGCCTCCGGAAATCCCGTGAACTTTGATAAATGACGATAGTTCTAGAAAGGCGTCTGGCCTTTTTGTTTATAGGGTCGCTATGAGTCATGCTCAACTCGATGGCAGTCAACAACACCACAATGCAAGGAGATTGTCCCTCTTTCTACCTTGAGACTTCTGGCGGATTCGAACTGCCTGGGACACAAAGCCTTGGGGTTCACAGTACACTTCAATATGAACTGCGCCCCCAGAGCACCTTCCTCTTCTGCCCTACTCGAAAAGCTCACTGCCATCAAATCGGAACCAACTCAGAGATTTCTGAGCTTTCTCCCTCGGAGCTGCCAGTGGATTCAGCTAGCCAGTGAGGCACGTATGTATGTGAATTAACAGCTCAAGTCTGTGTGAGCTAACCTCCCAAAGGCCCCCCGTTCATAAACTATAAAATGAGAGTAAGAATTAACAACAGCTTATCGCAGAATTATTCATAGTAGCAAAAAGATGGAAACAACCCAAATGCCCATCAGTGTATGAATGGATAGAGAAGAAACCGAAGTATAGTCATACAGTGGAACATTATACAGTAATAGAGAACAATAACATATTCATAAAATACTGTGCAGCGTGGGAATGTCTACAGAGCATTATACCAAGGGAAATAACTCCGTAACAAAAGGACAAATACTGCACAAGACACTATTGTGAAAATAGGAGGGTAACTAAGCAGGACGTGGATCACTTTTCGAAATGGGAAGGGGGAGATGTGGGGCAGCAGGAAAAGGAGGGGAGAAAGTCACCGAGATATCGGAGCTCAGCGGGCAGATGAAGGAGTGAAGGAATAGGAGGATGCAGTGGGAACTTGAAGAGACGGTAACAAAAAGCATAGCTCAATAGTGAGTAATTAATTATATTAAACACAATGTATAGGAATGATTGTGTAAAACACAGTGTACATGAATGAAACAGAATGTGTTTGAATGATTGTATTTAAAAAAATTTAAAAAGAAATGACTGGCGAGCTCTGGTGGCCTAGTGGCAAGAAGCTGCACTGCAATCATAGAGGTGAGCGGTTTGAATCCATCAGATGCTCTGCTGGAGAAGGTGGGACAATCTCCTGTACTTGTAAGATCCGGTTTGATGGTACACACACAAAACTTTAAAATAAAAAAAAAAAAAAGGAGGAAGAAATGATAATGAAAGAAATTTGCCTGATAAAGGACAGAAGAAAAAAAATAAAATGGGGTAAGAGGAGGATCAGAACCTTGTATGTTTTCAGGGAGGATAATGTGTAGGCTTATCCTCAAGGTGGTTCCCACAGTCAGACGACCTCCACTGTTCACACCCTTCACACCGTCCACAGCGCTCCTGTTTCTCCCCCGAGTCTGAAAATCCATTGCAGTGGCCACCTTTACCCAGACCTGACAGGTCACTTGCTCAGTCACGCATTGCTGTGGAGATGGAACTGACGCATCCCTGACCCTTCAGCAGGATTTTGAGGCTGTAAATCACTTGACAGTGCCTGTCTCTGGCCCACAGAACCCCTGGTGGGTTAGAACCAGCGTTAGACGTTAGGAGGGCGACTCCCTTACAGACTAGCCCAAACGACTGGAATTTTTTTAACGGCCAGCATCAGTCAGTCAGACTGGACTAAAGAAACCAACCCTCTGGGGTAGAAAACTAGAACAAAGATTGATTGCTCAGGGCTTAAGGAATTGGCCACAGCAGTGTCCAGAGATGTCCCAGGATTGAATATGCTAGACTGTAATGTTCCAAGATACAGGAACCATGCCTGCCGTATGAGTCAGAACCAACCCATAGCTGACCTGGCAGGTTTTCAGATGCAGTTAATCGCATGGGAGGAGAGATATATTTATAGATAGAGATATATAGAAAGAGAGAGAGAGAGAGACAGATAGACACACAGATATATCCTGTGGAGCAGCTGGTGGCCACGAACCATGTGCCTTTGGGATTGCAGTGCAACTTCTTACCACTAGGCCTGGTGGTGTAGTCCATCCCAAATTGCACTGGTAATCCAAAGACTGCTCATCTCCAGTGGTTCAAATCCACCCGCTGCTCTACGGAAGAGAGATGGGCAGTCCCCTCCTGTTAAGATGTTCAGCCTCAGGAACCCAGTGGAAGGTCTCCCTGTGTTGGAAAGACTCGGCGGCTGTTTTGAGTGAGCCTGTTAGGCTTCATTACCGCTAGGAGCGTCCTGTGTGGGCAAGTCCCGTAGACAAGGCATGTGTCTGCCGAAGCCCTTACACACACAGAGACCTCGCACACGTGGGGCAGGGCTGAGCTTGAAATCTAATCTCCAGACTGCAAACCCAGGCTCTCACCACCACCCCACACCCTCTCCACTTCCCCCACTTCACTTCTTCCCTTTGCCTCCATATTTGTGTTTTGGTTTTTCCGCCTTAAAGTCGTGTCTGAGTGGGGATAGAAGCAGCTAGAAATATGCCCTCGCTCCCATTCCTTCCGCCCGCCCCTCATTCTACAAGGTGCCTGACTGTAGCTTGGTAAGATCTCCAGGCTCTGGGTGACTTGGGAACATGTCACAGGGCAGTGCAAGGACTCACCTATGGGATAAGGTGTGTCCGGCAGCAGAATGCTGGGGGTAACGTGCATGTCCCTTCTAGAGGAACAGACGTGTCCGGTCACCCATTGATGCAGAGTCAGAGCCAACTCATCGCTGACCCCCCAGCATGCGTCCGAGGCTGCACGTGCCATGGTGATAGATTGTCCTTGTCAGGAGCCACTGGGCGTGTGGAACCCCCAGAGAGGTGTGACCTTGGGTTAGCAACGCACTTCCGTGCGGACTCGGCCACCAGCGTTCCGAACCAGCCTGGAAAAATAAGCTATGATGTGTTCGTGCTATAGAATGCTTCACCACAGGGGAAAGGCATGAGATGTGATTAAGTGAAAAACAAAGTTAACACTGGCATTGCTGTCGGGTGCTGTCGAGTCAGAACTGACTGATAGCTGACCCTCCAGTGGGTTTTCAGAGGCAGGATACCACGTGGGAGGAGACTGCCCATCTTTTGCCTGAAGAACAACCAGCAGATTTGAACTGTGTGCCTTTGGATTGCTAGTGCAATGCCTTACCACTAAGCCACCAGAGCTCCCGGACTTAACAATATGTACAACATACCATTTCTGTTGCAAAACTTGCAAATGAAATAGTAGATTCACGGAATTCATTTGCCCCGTGTGTATAGTTGGCAATTCTTTTTGAGAGTTTTTAATTTACCCTGTGATATTTGAATTACTACTTTCCTTGCATAAGCTCATACAATCTTCAGGACAGCTTGATGAGAGGTAAGTTCTGTTCACCCCATTTTATAGAGGAGGAAACTGAGGCTCAGAGAGCTAAAGTGACTCCCCCAAGCCACCCATCACAGCTGGCATGTTATCCTGGGCAGTGTGGTTCCTGGGCCTGCTCTTACCCGCTGTACTATTTAAGGCACAGGTAAAAGGCTCGGAAGGGTAAAGTTTCCAAAACACTAAGCAAAAACAAGTTGTCGAGTCGGCCCCAGCACACAGTGTGTGTCTTGGTAGAGCAGAGCAAGCTCGTGTTTTCCTGGCTACGATCTTTCAAATGTGGATCATCTTTTCCTGCGATGCGCTTCTGGTTGGACTTGAACTGCCAGCCTTCTGGTGCATAACAACAGACTTAACGTTTTGTACCACAAGGGGAACCCTTACCATGCTAAGCTGGGTACACAGAGGGAGTGGTGGACTAGGAAGGCTGGGGTTTGAGCTTTATCTTTGATATTTTATTTCTTTTTTTGCAAGGGCAAAAATCTTCATGCTCTTTGCACAATTATGGAGTTACATGTATAATGTCAATGAGGGGGTCAGAGAAGCAGAATTTGTTCACCTGTAGGATGTTTTCCTTCGTGTGTCCCTCCAGACGCTCTTATCCCCATTGTACAGAGGAGGTAGGATGAGGCACAGTGACTTGCCCAGTGTTTCGTAGTTGTTAGGGCCAGGGCCAGAGTCCCTGACCTTCCCGCTGCCCTCAATTGCTGGGCAGAGAAGGCCTCCCAGGCGCCATCTGGCTCCAACCTTCCTGGGTCTGACCTGTCCTCTCTCCCCAGGATCGAGCGGTCCACAGACCAGGTCATCAAGCCCGTGAACCTGGAAGCACTCTCCAAGTGGACCGGCCACATCCCTGGGGACGTGGTGAGGGACATGGCCCAGATCGCCCCCATGCTGGCTCGGCTCGGCTACGACCCCTATGCAAACCCACCCAACTACGGGAACCCTGACCCCATCGTCATCAATAACACATACCGGGTGAGTGTCGGGGGTTGTGCTGGGGGTGCCTGAGAAAAAACAGCATCTACATCAACTTCTCTGCGTGTCCAATTTGCATCTGTCTGATGCAAAAAGTGAATCATGGGTCTCCTTCTTTCACTGGGACTGTGTCTTAGGCTGGGTTCTTCAGGGGATCAGAGTCAGTGAGGCAGGTGTGTAAGCCGGCTCGACGGCAGTTAGAACTCAAACTAGCTGCTGTTCGGTTGATTCCAGCCCATAGCAATGCCCCTCCGTCAGCTTTCCACGGCTGCTTGGATTTCCAAGCCGGTGAGACTTCCCATCTTCTTCTTCCGAGATGCTACTGCGAGTGGATTTGCATGCAACCTTTGGGTTATCACTGCAGCGTGCTACAGACGACTATAGCACACAGGCGACTATGCCTTGAGCGTGTCTTCATGGGGAACTAATTCTTGAGAAGAGACGTGCACACTGGGAAAGGTAGAGGGTTAGTGGAAGAGAGGAGGGTCTGCAACGAGATGGACTGACACAGTCGCTGCTTCAGGAGGCCTGAGCAGAAGAGACCGGGAGGGTAGGACAGGGCTCAGACCTGCCGTTCATAGGGTCCCTGCGAGCCGCGGTTAACTCTCTGGCATCTAACGACAGCTCGATCAGAGCTCCCTCTGTGTGTCCCATCAAGGGACGGTGGTGCTGCCATTGTTCGCTTCTGAATGGTGCCTTCCAGAAGTGTCTGGAACTAGGCACGAGCCTTCTTCTCCTCAGATCACCGATGGCACTCCCATGAGACCATAGAAACCACCTGGGAGAGAGAAGATAATGTGATGACGTGACAGCACGGGAGACCAAGGCCATCTGGGCCACTTCCTCACGTGGCATACACCTACTTGCGTGTCCTGCTCAATGCCGAGCTTGTATAGACCAGTTTAATGATAGAGTGTTGCCGTGTGAAGTCTAGCTTTGTAGGTCAGGCAGCACCCTCTCCTTGGTGGGAATCTCAGGCCGCATGGTGACTTGGTGAGATGCAGTTCAACCCCTCCATCTCTCCTAAGCAGAGTCACTGACTGAGTGTCAAGCTCCAGTGGCAAGCCAAAGCCGTTTCTCCAAAGGAGAGTTACCTGCAGAGGATGGAAGGGCTTGGGGCCAGAATCCTGAGTCCCCCACAGGAACCTGCCAGTGACTCCCGGGAGTTTCTATATCTGCCACTGACAGTTCAAAAACCTTGGAGCCTGCAGAATCCTATGTCCCAAGTGACAGAGCAGCGTTCGGAGCAAACTTGAACCAATTGCAGAGCCTTGTCCCATTCTAGGGAGCTCTGGTGGCCTAGTGTTAAGGAGTTGTGTTGGCAACCCAAAGGAACCTGGTTTGAATCCACTAGCCACTCCGTGAGAGAAAGATGGGAAATCTCTTATTGTAGGTCCTGCTTGTTGTTAATATGCCATCCAGTAACCTGTGACTCATAGCGACCCTTTGTACAACAGCTCTGAACCATGCCCTATGCTGAGCCAGTCTCACTGACTCTGACACACCTAATTCCATTACCCAGTCACTGAGTCAATCCATCTTATCCACGGTCTTCTTCTCCTGCGCTGTCCCTCCCCTCCCTTCCAAGTATGATGTCTTTCTCCAAAGACTGGTCCTTCCTGGCCACGTGCCCAGAGTATGTGAGATGAAGCTTCAACATCCTAGCCTCCAAGGAGAAACTTGGTTTCACCCTCTCTAAGGCATACCTGTCTGTTCTCCTGGTGGTCCATGGTTTGTTTAGTACTCTTCTCCAGCACCACAACTCAAAGGCGTTAATTCTTCTGTAATCCTTGATCCTTGATCCATTGCTCAGCTCTCTGATGCATAGCAAGCAATTGCAACGACCATGGCCTGGATTGGGCGCGCCTTAGTCTCTAGACTGACGTCATTGCTCTTTGGCACTTTGAAGCGGTCCCTGACAGCAGACTTCCCCAATACAATTCGTCTTTTAATTTTCTGACCTGATAAATAGGATAGAACAGCACACCAAATAAAAATGTGTTGCCTCCACAATCCAGGGAAGTCCCCCAGGCACTCTGCTGCCTTTTTAGATGTGAACTGAGCCAAATCCTACTATACCTTATCCTTCTCTTTAGGGAGAGTTGGTGGCCTAGTGGTAAGAAGCTACACTGCTATCCCAAAGGTACACGGTTCAAATCCACCAGCTGCTCCGTGGAAGAAAGGTGGACAGTCTCCTCCCATGTGATTAACTGTCTCTGGAAACCCTTTGGAGGTCAACTGTGAGTTGATTCCAGCTCAACGGCACACAACAACAACATCCTTCACTTTAGGTGGAAGATCTCAGCTTGTCACCTGGTCTGTCTCTCAGATCTTTTTGGGGAGGGCAGGGAGAAAGACTGATTGGTATTGTGTAATGGTGTACTTCCTTAACGGGACCCCAAATACCCTTCCTGTAGTGGGTTGTAGGTCTGTTAACTGGCCAGGTTTGGGGATTGTATGAGTATCCATGACTGTCTTCCAGGGATTGAAGTTGGTCGTCACCTGACCTGGAATTCTTCCCCTTCTTTAGCTCAAGTACAGGGTTAGTACATTTCCCATCGTTTTCACTCATGTGTACTAAGTTACTGCTGTTGTGTGCTGGTGAGTCAGAGCCAAACCATAGCTGACCCTCCAGTGGGTTTTCAGAGCTTGTGAAACAAAAAGGAGGAGATTACCCAGCCTTCTCCTGCGGAGCAGCTGGGATTCAAACCATGTGTCTTTGGGTTTGCAGCACAGCTTCTTCCCACTAGGCCACCAGAGCTCCCTCAGTACCAAGTGGCCACCACCACAGATCTGTACCCCTCAGGTCGTTCTCTCCGCTGCTGTGACTGCTGTGCATAGTGATGGCCACATTGATCTTGTCTTTGACAGTTTAGTGCCTCCCCTTGGTCCCTACCACTGTGGGGCCCAGCGCACCCGTTGTAGTTTAAAACGCATTGCTGTCTCTCTGGACACAACTCCTTAAGTTTCCAAGGCTGTAAATCACACAGGAGGAGCTTGCACACCCTTCTCTCACAGAGCCGCTGGCGACTTCACGCTGCCCGGAGGTGCGAGCTGTGGGCGTCATCACTCCCGACGAACTCCACAGCTCCCCGCTTGTGGTTGTTATAGGCTGTCTAGTTGGGACCGACTCCGAGCTGACCCTGCCGCGGGTTTTCAGAGGCAGTAAAGTAAATCGCACTAGAGGAGAGCGCCCATCTTTCTCCCACAGAGCAGTGGGTGGATTCGAACCCTGTACCTTGGAGTTGGCGGCACAGCTCCTGATCACCAAGCCAGTTCGGTGTCTTCATTGGATGACCATAAAATAGCAATCCCAGCATCCTTCAGTGCTGCTGGGATTCCCAACACAAATGTATTCCCCGTCCTCTGCAGTACTAGATATGCCTGTGGGTGTTCCATGGGAGGTCTGTCTGTCCAGCCTGATAAATCTGCTCTAACTTACTCATTTCTCTAAGCTTTCAGATGTCGCCACCTTCAGCGTACACAAGGCAGGCATACTTGAACTTGACATTGCATGAAGGTCACCACATAATCCGTGTTTCAATGAACCAAGCACGCAACTCTCTGATGTTTTCCTAACCTCTCAGCCTGAAACACGTGAGGGATCTGTGGTTACTGGGTTGGGAGCAGGAAGCTCACACTGATCCAATTTTATGCTCCTTGCGCCTTTATCCCACACCCCGAGTCGCCACTCCCACGTGTATTCTCCAGGTTTCTGTTTGTACAGATTAGAGGAACCAAGCCGTTCTTTTAGAATGCAGCGTGCCTCCTCCGGGTCACACTTTGTACTTCTCTTCTGGGGCTTGACTGGAACTTAAGTCTGGTTACAGATCTAGAAGCAGAAATGGGGATTGGTGGTGGGAACATTCATCACTCTCTTATAGGGAGTACAACCCAGGTGATGCCCCAGGTACTATGTCAGACAGAGACTCTTCAGGTCCATCTGGGCTCATCTCATCAGATGGGGTTCTTTGAGATAATCGTTTCACTGGGCAGGGTGGTTAGGCTGGCAGAGATGATGTAATCTTTTTAAAAAA